AACAAATAGTAAGAGTAAGAAGAATAACCAAAAAGAAAATAATTATATTTGAAAAAACACAAGGAACAAATACAGGATATAAAGAAAGAGAAATAGAGATACCTGAAATACAAGAAGTAGACAAAAACGTCACTTTAACAGAAGAAGAAGTAGCAACACTAATCATATATTGTTGGCACACAAACGATATATCAAAATATAATCACGCTATAAACCAATTAGGCAGAACACTACAAATAATTGAAAGACTAATACAAGTAGCACAACTGAGATAACAAAATAGCGGCACAAATAAAATACCAAAGTTTCAAAATACTGGCATCAAACTTACCAACATTCTCTAGCAGGCCAGAAGAATATGTAGATTGGATAAATGCTTTAGAAAACATCTTTAATATCATGAACATAGGACAAACTGTAACAGTATTCAGAAAATACTGGGGAAATGAAGAAGAAAGATAGACCAGAGTAGCAGCAGACGCAGATCAAGATGGAACAACATATGCATTATCAAGAGCACATTTCAATATTGAATATTTTAACAAAATAAAAGCTGTAATCTTCACTAAACTAACAGAACCAGCAAAAGCATTATTCCAAGCAAATCCAACTATAAACTGCTATTACAGAATAAGAGCAGGAAATACTATAAACCTAAAAAATGCAACCAACTACCCGGTAAACATAGCCGAAGAATACACCACAGATAATTGGCATGACACAGGATTAGGATGAGGAGGACTCATATACCATCACCACAAGTATCATTCAGAGAAAAATTTGATAATAAATATATTACTAACAATATCAGATTCAGCAACCAATAGAAATTCAAAAGAATAAAATTCGAACCAGATTATTCTAAAGAAAACTTATTTATGGCATTCAGGGATGTCTGGGAAAAAGCAAAAGAACTTTCAAATTACCAATTCAGAAATATATTCTTAGCAGCAGAATACCAATTCTTACTAGAATTATTACTACATGATTAACAAAGTCATATTATGACTGTAACAGCACAACCAACAAACAGAGCAGAATTTTGGAACATGTGCAAAAGTTACTTCAATACACAAAGAAACTTTAACCAAATGAAAAATAAAATATCAAAAGTAAATAACTTCAGAAAAGCAAGAATTAATAACTTCAACAGTAATACAACTGACAACTCTAAGAAAAAAGATATGTCAGCAGTAGAATGCTTTAGATGCCACCAAAAAGGACACTATGCTAGAAATTGCAGAAATGCAAAAGAGAATCATATAACAAATTCCAAAACAATAGGAACTAAAGAAATAAATTCCAAAATAGAAAACCTAACCCATGATTTACCAATAAAGGGTACAAACCGGTAAAACAATAGAAAGAAAACTTTAGAAGAATTTCGCAAAAAGCATATCAATACTGTAAATTCACCAAAGGGCATAAAAACTCTTGTCCTAGAAAAAATTCAAAATATTATAATAGATCAAAATCAAGAGAAATACAACATAACTATCGAAATAACAATAAACGAGTAAATAACTTCAAACCAAAAGAAAAAGAAGAAACCAAGAATAGTTACAAAGAAAAATCTTATAAAGAAAAACCAAAAGTAAATTTCAAAAAGAAATACAACTATTACCAAGAGGAAGATGAAAAATACTCTTCTCAAGAAGAAGAGGAAGAAGAACCACAACCTTCTACCTCTAAGAAACCAAATAGTGAGAGAAATAAAAAATATAATTCTTTCTATTAGAAGACCTGCCTAGTGTTCAGGACCAATCTCCATACAACAAACATTATAGTTACATTAGAGAATATATAAATATATATTAATTACATAATATCAATAATCTCAAATTTATTAATCCAAACTTATTAAATAAAGGACCACATTTTAATAACCAATATACAATACATTCTGCCAAAGAAAATTTATCAAAGAAAATAAAAAAGAAAACATCAAAAAATCCTGATTATCAGTATTTACTCAAAGACTATAAATTTGTGAAAGATCTACAAATAGTTCCAAATGAACCAAAAGAAAAGAAAACATATTACTTTATAGCATTAATAAACAACCAACCAATTAAAGTATTACTCGATACAGGAGCAAGTGCTAATATCATAGGACTAGATCTAGCAAAAGAATATAACTTTCTTGAACTATTAACAGAACCACCCACCAGAACAGCACAATTACCTGGAGGGAATTAATTAAAAACTACGGAAAAATTCCAAGTAGACAGATGTAAATAAAACCTTAAAGTAACAATCATTGAAGGAAACCAAGCATACCTTCTACTTTACAAAATCAATCAAGCATGATTAAATATATCTAAAGATCGAAAAAAATGCATTATTCTTATACACAGTAAACCAACAAACTATCAAAACACTGATAAAAACTATTAAATTTATAAAAGGTTTAGGCATTATGATCAAGTCTCTATTCATAATGATCTAGTTTCTTGGGTACCCCTTCAAACCTTGAGATTAAGCAAGTCCAAGCTAGCCAAATATCTCGAAAAATGAGATACCCCTCAAAATTGGAAAAAACTCTAGAAAGACGCTCAACGTGATATTTAAAACGAACTACAACCAACAAAGAATGGTGCCCAACTATACTGGTCACCAAGGACTAATATCTAGAAAGGTGCCCAGTACCCAAAAATGGGTAAAACAAGAGCATGCCAGTCCTAAATATAAAAAATTAATTAATAGATTAATACCTTATTCATTCAATGAACAACTCAACTTGTTAAAGAAACAAGTAGAAAGAAATAAACAAAGAAATAAATTAATAGAAACAACTTGAGATGGCAAATGGTTAGAAATAGTAAGAACTGCTCTGGCTACAGACTCTAATATCTTTCAAATCTTCCTAACATATAAAGAATTAAATGGGCAATTCAAAAATAAACAAGAAAAGAGATATGCAAATTACAAAATAGCGAACCTGATAAAACAAAGGATAATAATATTATAATGGGCAATAAGAATATTGGGCTAAAAATAGTACTACATATTACACTAGATTTGTATATTAACCAACTATTGTATGAGCACAATGGTAAGAGAAATTAGAAAATAAATAGAATATTACAAGAGCTTGCAAGAGTGCAAGAAATAAATATTAGATGGGCTGTAATACATATAGGTACCTTAGCTGGTGATAAGAAATGATCAGACGTGATTGATAATATTAATAAAATATTACGCATAATAAACAAGAACCGATAGGATATCAGATTACTATTAGCAAACTCAGCTAGCAATAATTGCTTTGGTGCAACTATACCAGACCTCATAGATATAGTGAATAGTGCAAGTCAAGAATTAAGATATAAAGATAAGGCAAGACTAAAGAAGTGAATAGGCATATGCTTTGATATGCAGTACTGGTATGCTGCAGGGCAAAACAAGAGAATTAATAAATATCGAAACGTACTAAGAATGTACAAACAAGAAATCATGTTAATATACATGAATAACAGCCCGCTGGAAGTGATATTCGGCAGAGGAATAGACAAACACGAGCACCTATTGGATCCACAAGCAAGTATTCAACAAGAAGTATACCAAATGATTATATAGCATAAAGAGGTCTATGCTGTGGTAGTAGAGACACTGTCAAATAAAATAGCTAATCAAATAGCACAAATACATGAAATCTCTAAACTAAGAGAATAGGCAGAAGATACATTTCAAGAAGAAACACTCCAAGAAGAATGGTCTAAAGAAAAAGACCAAGAATTAAAAGAACACAAAAACCAATATACGGAAGGAACATAATCAGGAATAACAATTCTATTAGAAATGGAATTTGATAACCCAGAAGTAACATTACTTGTGAAACAAGTACAATGAATGACAGTGCAGTAGAACATGAAGCACCGCAAAATAAACAAGAAAAGAAACTAAATCAACTCTATTTAGAAGCTGCACAAAGAGAAATAAATCAATTTAGAGAACAAATAATAAGGAAAGACAATACTAAAAAAGACAAGAAATGAAAAGCTAAAAGCTTAAACATCAACTTTAATCAACAAGAGGGAAGCAAAATCAAAACACCAAAAATAGAAATATTTATTAAAATACAATTGTTACAATTAGATCAAATCTTACAACAAGAAAAGGAACAAGAAGATCCAAGAATTAGAACTGGATTAAGACAGCTAAAACAATGATTAAACAGTATGGAAACAAACTATAAGTATGTTTCCCAATTAACAAAACAACAAACTAATGAACATATTCAAGAAATTGAAAGGGTTACAAATAGAAAAATATTAGAAGCAGAAACAGCTGAAGATAAAAAAGCTTACCTATACAAAACAATATCCACATTAACAGAAACAAAAGATGCTATTCTCTGGAAGAATAGAGATCTAGTAAAAGATCTAGAAGAAGAATATGGGTATGCAACTAATCAAGCACTAAATTTAGACAGAAAAGATTTTGAAGCAATGCAAGAGTATAAACAATAAATCTTAATGAAAAGATTTGCCAGACAAATGGAACTATGTGAAAGTGAACCATTACGAGAACAATACTAAGCAAAATATAGAGAACTATTAGAGGTATCTCTAGAAAACTAAGATAAAATGCATGACATAGAAGATGAAGAAGAACGAATGTTCCAAGAACAACAACAAGTCAGAAAACAAGGCTTAGAATTACCAAAAATATTACTACCAAAATATCTATATTACGAAGAATATAAACCAACAGTAAATGAACCGTGAGAAACAGAACAAATAGCAGACAGATGGTTACTAGACAACAACTTTGAAAGAACATTAGAATGGTTAAATAAACAAGATAAAGATCAATATACCAAAATACTAGAACAAACAATATCAAGAACAACAACAAGACCAAGTTCACCAACATCACCA